TACAATTTAAGAGATAACTTAAGATTTGCTCTTAAATGTCCTAAATCCAAAGCCCTGCACAATTTTTTCATTCATCGCGCTAGTATTGTTTGGAATTGCCTACCTAGTCAGTTAAAGTCTAAGCCTAGTTACTCTTCTTTTAAGGCTAGTATTAAGAAATTCTATAAATGCATTGACCAAATTAATTTCGGCTCAAACTCCACTGCTACCAACAATATCAGTGACGAATTTAAGTACTACTGATATCTAGTTTGCCATCTTGTTATCTTATTGTTATTATTATTATTATTATTACAATTATGATTTATTTAAAATTTTTTAACTTCAATTTTATCTTTGTATTTATTTTCCTTCAAATGCATTGTTTGAGTTAATTTGACTCATACTAATATATATATATATATATTTACTTACTTATCCTACCCATATATATAATGTATTATTGATATGTATGATTATTCATTCTATGTGACGTATATATTTTTAGCTGTTTATTAGTAGATAGCAGGTTCACATCAGCATTAGTTGCCATTTCCTAGACCTGCTTTACCAAATAAAGGATGTATGTATGCATGCATGTAAGGAAAAAGTGCCATCGGAAAGCGGAACAACAAAGTGGTTGCACAGAACAATCAATAGTTTGACTTTTTTGGTTTTTTTAGAAACAAGTTTCTGAGAACATCATACTTTTTTTCTGTTCCTCATAAAGAACGCTTTAATATGACTGACTGGTCCTCAAATTTCAGCAACAATCAAGGATATATCGATAAAATAAAGTTAAAAGGCAGTAGCATTTGCTTTGCTCCAAGGATGTGACGTCGCTGCTCAAAAGGAATCAGCGCTCATCCCGGTTATTTCGAGGCATAGTTGCGGACTGAGTCTAAGCCGGATGATGTTTTGCCATCTTTCACCGAAATTTCTTGAGATAGGGAATATCTGTGAAAATCATTTCAAAATACGTTTTTATCGTTAAGGAAAACAAAATCAAAGCGAAGAGATAGATACAGATGGAAGCTGTTCTGCTTATAATTCTTCAAATAATACTTTTTGCAGCATGGAACCGCTTAAACAATGTTAGGTCAAAATTTTTTCTGTGTTTGTTGGCAGTACTTGACTCTATGAACAAGGGAGATTGCTTCTTTCGCTTTCTTTCTTTTTTTTTTTCAACCAAATACCTTGAACAAACGTTTGGATGGCGACTTAGATCCATAAACAGCTCTGAACAAACGATCTCCAACGCTCTCCAAAGGTACAGTTGTTTTCTGCATTTTAAGCTTTGGTGTTTAAGATTGATTATGTCAGCGAAAAGTCCTATTGTCTTATTGACCTATAGCGTTTCATAGCGTTACTACTGTAAGGAGGTTCCCTATGTTTCATATGCAGTATGTACTCACGATCAATCGGGTTTTAAATCTACTTTCCTAAGAAAATGAAAATTAACTAATCGTAAGTATTATATGGTAAGTCTACTATCTTGATTACTGAATGAAGGATAGTTGAACGAGACTATGATAGGAGTCACCTGATCAATAAATAAGTCTATCTTGCGTGAAGCGGCACGCCGGTAAGCTGTAAAGCAAAAGGCGGTCGAACGTTAGGTGGTGTTCATACGCCTGTGTGACTCCTTCAACTCGATGTCGCACAAAGTTTAACTCTTATTAGGATATCTCAGAACGACTTTCCTCTGCGATGTGATAATAAGGGCAAGTTTTAAAATATCATTTCCCCATCTGCAATTTTTGCAAAGCCGGATGAGATTGTTTCTTTGCGCGCACTATGTTCTCTGTCTTTTTAAATATACTTTCTCTCCCGCAGAAAATAACTTCAGAGATACGTTTCTCAAAACCTACATCTAGGTATAGTGTATTAATTACGACCCCTCTCCCGCCAAAAAATAGACAAAATACCAAAATTGCATTTCATCCGGGTATGTAGTCAATGAACTAATTGAACCCGCAATAAAGTGCTCCGACAGAATATCATTTGTGAGAAGGGTGCTCTTAAATCTTACTTTTGGAAACGCTTTACGATTTTGACACTACTTTGAGAAATAAAGGCAAATGCAAGTCTTGAGCTCGCAGTTAGGTGAATCACTGCATAAACTACGTCACTATCAACAGAATATACCGCAGCATTGTTATCTCTGAGATACCCTGGTATATAGTTTATGCGCTCCAAATAGTCGGTTAACATTTTTCTCGCGAAGGACACTCGTTTTTACAATTTTTCCCACAGCTCCCTAGGGAAGGAAATAAAAGTTATCGGCAGAGGCTAAAGATCACGTAGCAAATAAAATGCGCTACGATGCATCAGTACCAGTCCAACTAGAAATTTAATAAAGTTTGTCATTCATTCAAACGTTATTCTTGGTATAATAATCGATGCATTTGCTCATTTTCTCTTCTGCAGTCATCCTTCCTTTAATGATGGAGTTGCAAGGAACAGGTGAGGAAGTGTAATTCAAATTTTATGTATCTGAAAATGAATAGGAAAAATATTATGAGGCTGATTCATCAATACATTTTGATTATTTACAATAATCAGTCATAGATGTTCCGTTGGTACATCAGTCCGACTGTGGATCTAAACGTGCGTTGAAGAAACTAAACAATAACTGAACAAGAACAAACAAAGACTAACAGCACTTTCACCTGATCTCCCTAATTTTTACCCTTAAAACTTAAGGTGATTCCACAGTATTGCATTGCGCATCCCGTATTGTGCATAAAAATCACGCAATCGGGTGAAAAAGCGCGCGCATTTCGAGAACGCGATATTGCTTTTCAATCAATGGAGCAGGTAAAAAGGTACAATGGTCCTCAGCTCTTGAACGAGCACGTTGACCTGTATTTCTTATTGCATAATTTTGGTGTACACATTATCCCGTTTAAACTGGAGGATATTAAAAAAATCGTCGACGGTAAAAAATATACAACTAAAAGTGTGCAGAAATCCTGCTGATGATGCAAATTATGACCTCGAAAGCGACAATTAGAGGATCGTTTCGTTTCGATGTGTTTAAATTGCGTAACTTTTCCACAAGTCAATCTCTTTTTTATTTGCAACATGTGCCTCGAGTTATTGCAAAATGTACCGTGAGCCGATGAAATGACACGTGTGGTTAGAGCCAGCAAAGGCATATATGGGGTGTACAGGCACAAGCACGATGATCTTTCTTTTTTATTGTATTTTTCGAAACACACGCTGGTAAAGAACATTTATTTTCTAAGGAATCACCTTAAACCTAATTCTAATTTTTGCTTCAGTGAAGTAACGAGTTCCGGTGCTCATTGTTAGTTAGGCGTGAATATTATTATTATTATTATTATTATTATTATTATTATTATTATTATTAATATTATTAATACAGACAGTATTTTTCGTCTCCATTTTCATCAATATCACTATTGCTATCATCCTCATGATCTAAATATCTGTATTTTTTCTTTTATTCACTTATATATTTATGTTTCTCATAGCAAGTCTATGTACCCATTTCAAAAATTCTTCGTACATCTTTACAAAATGGGGAAGATTTTATTGGGATAACCATCACTTCTGCTCCTGTCATGGAGGAGGCCTTGTTTCCATCGAAACCGATGAAGAATGGAAATTTATCAAGGGTGAGATTCAAAAACGTAATAGTTGGAATACCAGTGCGTGGCGTATTGGTTTAAGCAAGCAGTTGGGGGCTTGGAGATGGGAGAGTGGAGAACCACTGAATATTTTGAAATGGCGAGATTCTGAGCCAAATGGTAACGACGACTCAGCGGAAATATCCAAGAATGGAGGCCTTTTTAACGGTATCTCTTACCGTGATGAAGTTGCGTTCATCTGTGAATTTCCTGAGGGTAAGTAAACATTCCACCCATAAAGTATATTAAGTGCTAAACCATTTCAGCTTAGCCCTGGTCCCGTAAAAAATTATTTCGATGATTATTTTTGAGAGGTAATTATATTGCTCTCGCAATATCGAAAGCCTTTCTTAACTTGAATGTGTAAGCGGTAAAGAAACTGTTTAGTGCGTACTAGCGGTTTCGAATTAGGATAACTCACACTTGTATTTTTTTTTTTCAGCTCGTTCTGATCAAATTAGGGAGAAGAGGCGGCTCAGGCTGCTAGTCAACCTTGTTATAAGTGTCATACAAAAAGTACAATAACCGCATGAGCTTACAGATAGTCTTAATGCAATAATTCAAAATAGAATATCCGAAATAGAAGACGTCGCAGTGAAGAAATATGTGTCAAGTACTACTCCTGGTAAGAGCTGCTTTCCGACCAAAAAAGAGTTTTCCGTTATTTATTGCCCATGAAAAATTTCGGGACACGTCATATAAAAAGTTGCATCGTTCTAGAATCATCCTTTATTTTGCTGCGTCGCAAGCCACAGCAAGTTTTCGACGGGCAAAGCGCTTGAAAGAAACTCGATCGAAAGAATACATTTCTCAACAGTTGTCGAGCGAGCGTTCACTGCAGTCGGTGAGTGTTTGTATGTTGTGTTCAAAATAACACATCGAAGTATTCCTGTTTGTGCTTGAACGAGTGAACGATAATTATATACAGTAGTTTCGGAAAAAGAGTGTCGGAAAGAGTACATGATAGCCCCGAAAAGTATTGTGGGTAGTCTTCAGATCTTGGTTCCTTGACCTCAGGAATTCGGGGAAGTCTGAGAAAATGTCACCTTAAGCACAAAAATTACAGATTTGATGAACTTATTTTGTTCACAAAAATGACTTTTCTATTCTAACCTGCATAAAAAAGGAAAAAAAAAATTGACCCCAATAAAAGACGAAAACCCATGTAAGCTTAACGAGTGCGAATTCTATTGCAACACCATGTTATTTTTGTTTTGTTCCATACATACATACATACCTACATACATACATAAAATTTATTGAAATTTCAAGGTATTTAGCTAAAAGCTAATTGTGGACACTATAAATAAATAACATGAGTATAATATAAGATTAAATAGAGTATATTTAACAGTTATTCCACGAGC